TGAGTAATATTTAGTATGTGAGAACAATATAATGTCTCAATCATTTGGCGTTGGTAGGAGCTCTACAACAATTGAAAAATAACCCAAATGATTTAATTATGGATGCATGATGTAATGGATGCATGGATGTAAAAAAACATTGGGGGGCTTGACCCATAATGACCCTCTGCTGCTTCGGTTTTGACCATTATTTTCAATGTGTCCCCCAGAATATAGTACAAAACTGCTGGAGGAATTGGTTAATGATCTTTTACTTGTGTTTTTTGATAGTTCCAACATGAGAGACAGAAGTGGAATGAAAGATACTTAATCAGATTAAATCCTCCGGTCTTCACAAAACAATGTAGAAGACGTCTCCACATAACAGTGCTTTATACATGTAGTAAAACATTTTACAAGGCTCTTTGATGTATCACTTACAATACATCAATACCTCCCAGCTCAAGACAAAATCCCAGTCCACAATGAGAGGCGGTCTAAATTCATATGATTCAGACTAAACACTGCTCTTTTTCCCAGCACCCTAGAGAGAAACACAAAGAAACAGCGAACGCTCCCACACTCTGTCTTTCCCTACCTCTCTGTCCGTGCTTACACACACACTTTTTCAGTGTGACATGTGATTTAATCACACTACAGGAAACAAAAGGCATGACGATCGTTAATTATAAGACTCTGAAGCCTCCCTACAGGTGCAGTTGGCCTTTGACCCCTGCTGAGTTGAGACACTGACGTAACCAAAATTGTGTTTTGCTTTCTGAACCTGACAAACTGAACCAGCAAATGTACTGTAACACAGGTCATTGAAATGTTATGTGCAAACCCATCGTTGCTGAGTGTCTTATAGAATAGAGGAAGCAAGTGCAAACAATCCTTTTTCTGCAGTAAATCCATCAGAGTTCATTAGCCTTGTATCCACCCTTCCCTAATGCTACACCACCCTTGCTACCTCAATGCTACCATTTGCTAAAGGCAGTGATGGTGTATTCAGAAGTCTATAACATAGGCTGGGTCTATGTTCTATAGGGACACTCAGAACATTCCTGCTATTGTTGTTTCATTAGCAGGCTGAGGGTTACCCTTGCTATTCACAGTGGCTGACCTCTAGACTCTCTGGCAAAGCTGTTGATGACCATGCTTCTTGGAACAGAACAATAAGAGTTTTTCTTTTGCAAAGTGTTGGTGCAAAATGTTCTGGGAGCTGCTAGAACAATGCTAGAAACGCTTGTTAGTGCAGATTAGCTGCTTGTCCTTTTTCTTTTGAAGGGTCACCGTCAGAATTGTTTTTGAAACTACGCATTGCCCTTTAATGAGGTGGAGCTCCGACATGCCAGTGGCCGTGAGCACACTTGCAAAGGCTTTTCCTATTGGTAGTGGATGAAGCTCTGGCTGTGGATATGGTTAAAGCATTGTTAGCATCTGAGGGAATGCAAAACCAACTGAGAGGTAACCAGAAATAACTTCAGAACAATCCTACAATATGCACACTTTAATCCAACTATTAGATTGTAAATTGGAATATCTTTACAGTAAAACAAAGACGGGTGACATGAGAGTCATATAACATTAGTGTATTTGCTTTTTGGGAGCATATCCACATTTAGGTACAGGATATTGCAAGGGTTTTTCCTCTCCTGAACACCTGGCCATCCAATCAAACGGGTTTCTGTTTGGTTCATAGTGTTGGACTTCCTGTACTTGGTGTTCAAACAGCTCAGTACCCATGAGACGCAAAGAAAGAGAGACATCAGGCGTCAGAATACTATCTTTACACAGATAAACCCTCAGCGGCACCCCTCTGTACTCTGGTATCAGTTGTCTGGTAGAGTCTGTTACTGGATCCAAACTCCCTCTTCCTTTCCTTGGGGCTTTCTTCCTCTGCTTTCTTATCTCTCCAGTCGGTTCTCCATGTTTTGGGGATGTTTATTTACTGATGCAATCACATCCTCTTCGTAGTAATGACTTTTGTTTTCTCTTTTTTCCCCAGTTTTCTTAATTAACTGTCTTTTTCTTCAAAGAATGAGCTGCTTACGGCCATCAGTTGCAATTTAATAAGATGAGTGAGTGTGTGTGTGCGTGCGTGTGTATGTGTGTGAGGAGTGCAGCTGCAGCTTAAAAATCGAGTCCTTTCTTGACCACTGAGGGAAGGTTATATGAGCCTCTACTTCCTGTGCAGTGAGGTCACACAGGTGGTTCACAACTGGACAGACATAGGTTCACATATCGCGTCTAGAACTTTTCATGAATTCTAAGCAATAAATGGAGCAAGGGGTATTAGAGTAGAAAGATACATAAAAGGCCCTATGACGCATTAATGTGTGTCTTTATCACAAACTGTTTCATTCTACAAAACTCTGAGAGCACATGCACCATTTCAGCACAAAATGTTGCTAATGGAGGATGACTGTGTTATTGTCTCCTATTTGAAACCACCTTACCTTGAAGGGCTCATTAGCACAGCATGGCACGGTGATGTTCAAGACTTTGAGGCATGCTTTTATCTAGAGCCATTTCATTTTCCTATCGGACTGCTGGCTCAAGCACCTGCTCCCATAGTTGAATAGTAATGCTTTATGTAATACTTGCACATGTTTTTCAAAAAGGCAAGGTTATTTTCTTTTTGGTAAGATATAAATGATAAAGAAACTCATTAGCTATATAGATGTTTGCTTTGGTATTTGCCTTGACCGCTCAATCATATCAAATCCCTTCCATTTTCAAATCAAACTATAGTTGTTTATTGTGTAAGATCAGTATAACTGCTTAAAAAATTATATAAACCATGTTGACATTTTTCTTTATACATTAATTTTGCTATGAATTTCATTGTGCAAATGTATTGCATTTTTTATATTTTGCAGAAAGTAAACAGAATTGTTTGTGCCTAATATAATTTTGGACCTAAGGTTAAAATAAACAAGAATTCAAGCTCCCAACAGTAGTATGCATGTGTGCACAGGTGTTCAGTGCAAGTGTGTGCACGTGTTGGCTCAAGAGCTGGATATAGAGATGAGTATAAAAAGGATGAATGGATGGGGGGTTTCAATGCATTTGCTTAAGATGCAGCACAAAAGATCTAAAAACATGCGTCTGCACAGCACTTGAAAGGTTAAGGAGATGTTAATGACCTCTGCATTTCTTGCATTTACCTAAAATGTGAGCAATATTATTTATAAAAAGCAATAGAATCATTTCTAAGAGCGATCAAGTTTAATCTTTCTTAATTAAAGTTTATTTTCCTGTGGGAATTGGCTGTACTGTATGCGCACATCACTGTTTACCAAATGTCAGACTCAGCCCTCTTATCAGAAACTCAAATTGGTTCTTCTTTTTTTTTTTCACAATACAACAGATTAAAACGACTATACCACAACCAATGTATTTATTTGTCCAACAGATTTTACCGTGTTACCATTAGCCTTACTATGAAATAACAACTTTTAGGCTCAATGATCTGTTTAGGTCATATTGTTGTTTTTAACAAAACACAACAACAAAAAAGAAAATGGTTTCTTTTGTCTTTAAAAAAACTAAACTTTTGTGTGGTGTTGAGTTTTTCATAAGATATGAAGCCATCGATCTTTTGTTTGCACTCAAAGACGCTTCCTGTTCTTCTTCAATCTTTTCGAGTTGAAAGGAATGGAAATGTACTTTGAACTGCTATTTTTAAAAGTAGATTAAGTACCATGCCGTACTGTGATTAAATTACAGATAGATCTTGAATCAACAGCCCATCATTATTTTGGGGGACTGGGATCTTTGAAAGAACATTGATTTGAATCATAGTGTGAATTGATCAAGGTCAATTAAGAAGAATGTCACAACAATCCAACGGCTTTGATTTAAACATTAAACAATTTATTTCGGGTTTTGCCAACAACTTTAAACCACACACTCCAGGATACACCCAACCCCCCACCTCCTTCCACATCCCCCACTTTCCAGTTGCAGTGACAGGTGGCTCTTGGGGGTTTGGGGGAACACGACTCAACAGCTGCACAAAAGAGCTCCACTGGGGTCCTTTTGACAGGGTGTCCCCTCTCAAGCGTGCCGATCAGCCCCTGGCCCAGTCCCCACCTCGGCAGATGCTCTAAGAAATCTACAGGTGGTAGACGAGAGACACTGTGATACTTTTTAACTGGGTTGAGAAAAAAAAAGAATTTGATGACTCAATTGTAGCTTTATCTTGGGTGGAGTAACTTGTTTAACACATCCGATCCATCATACAAAAGATAAAACCTGGCTGACAGGAAAATCTAATGTTCTCGTTATACTGAAATAACATGTTACATGTACAAATCAGTAACAGTACATATTGAGTATCAGTTGTAGAGAGTGGGAAATTCAAACTCAAAGCATTTCAACATACACCCAGCAGACATACATTTCAAACATGCCTGTAGGCTAGAGAGTAATACTTGTTCTGCTGACACATTGCATCCACTTTTAAAAATAACTTTTGAATGTTAAACGTTCAACAAAAGTAGGATACAGACAGTGATTTCATGCATTTATCTTTCAGATACTAAAATCTCAACTTCTTCCCATGCTAAATCAAACTGAAGAGAACAGCTTGGTGTAGGATGTCCTGGACAAACGTCTACTTAATGCAATTTAGACTATTGTTGGAGACAATATAACAAGCAAACTGGTCAAATGTATGTTTTTTAAGGGGAAGATTTATAATGTGAACTATGAACTGGCTGGGTGTGAGAGCATTGTAGTTGTTTGTAGGTGTGGAGGAACCGATTAAAACAGAGGGGAACAAGTATTCTTTTCACATACAATATCTGTTTATATCAATGCAGTCTTCCATAATATAATAATGTAAGCAAGCCAGTAGTTAGTAATTACTGTAACCGTCTTCCACAATGTCTATTCTAGTTAGTATTGACTATGTATGCTAAAGGTATGTCCCTCTCCCCCCTCTCGGTAATGGTACAGTCCGACTCTGAGGCCAGTGAGGGACCATACGTGCGAGCAGAGCATCAGCTGTGGTGTGTCGGAGAGTGAGAAACTTCCCTCGCTCCTCCTCCCCTGCTTTATTTCTCTTAAATTCCCCGAGACACCTTTTTATGTGACTTCTCTCAGCGGCAGCCACAGCCACCAGTGCCTCCATTAACAGGCGGGTACTGGCTTTGTTTTTGTTTTTTTGTGTCGTATCGTTGGTTTATCCTTACGCTTTGGAGAGGTTTCCTGCCGGTTCGTTCAGGACTTCGGGTGCAGCTGGAGCGACTCCACCAAGTTTCCCCCCCATTCTGCCTGAGGAATGATTGCACTGCTGGAGAGGAAGAGCCGAAACTCGCATGTTTGAATGAACAAAAGAACAGAAAGCGAGGATATTGCAGCCGAAATGGAGGAACTTACCCTACAAGGAGCAACATGTAAGTCTTATTTCACTGTAGTTAAATTTAACAATAGTTGAATCTTGAAAAAGAGGCACGAGTGCATTGTCATTCATGTCCTTTGTCACATTGTAACAAACATGTTGAGTCTTACTAGTTAACTCACAGTTGCCTGGCTCATTGAGAGGTTGATAAACAGTGTTGCGGTTAGGATAAATGAAGAGTGTTCCGGGATGAATTTATCTGATGCATTATGAATAATCCATTAGGAGGTGCGGATGCAGACAATCCACACACCATAAAGCTAATGCAACCTTGCTGTTGTCCACAAGCTTAACACCAACACCTGAAACCAGCTTTTAATCTGAGTGACACTGAAGTATTAATGATGATGAAGAACAGTTTGCTGACCGTTTTGACGAGGAAACACAACACCGGTTTGGTGATAAACTGATCACTGATTGCTGTCTCTTACAGAAAATGTTGCATTTCTTTGCACTGAGCTCAGCCTTCAGGGTTATAGCAACACAATTTGCAATAGATGAGGTAATCTGACTTGGACCACCCCATCCCCCTCCGTATGTTTAGCTCACTACTAACATGATGCAGTTATAGGCGGTCTTGCATCCCGTCCACTCTCCTCTCTGCTGCTACTTTACCTGAGGCTGTTGTAGCACAGGTGTAGTCATACAGCTGGTGCAGAGATGCATCAACAACAAACAAATGTTGATGCTCAGTATCAAAGTGCAGAATATAAAGTCTAACTCACACTCCGGCCAAATCTGGTTGAGTTACAGTTTTATATGTGCAATTACAAAAATGTGATCCTGTGATCAAGGCCACTGCCAAGTCTGCTCCATCCATTAACAACACATGTCTCAGTTTGAGACTAAATGAAAAACCCATGGTGGAAACCTGCCAAGTTGTTCCTACACCCAACATTGGTTCAGAAGTTCAACTCTCCATGCAGGCATTGTATAATGACAAGCATCTAGAAATAGAAGAGGACACACAATGTGACCTCCTCCTTTTGACAACACCAAACTTCCTTCCTGCTGACAGGGGGCTTCGTGGAGGGAGGTCAGCTTGTTTTGGCTCTGCATCAAGCAGCAAGGGAGACCGTCTCCACCCCTTTTCGTGGGAATCTTCACCAGTCGACTGTAACGTCTTTAAAACAGCCATGTTCTAAATAACATAACATATGCATGACCATAAAGTGGGGAGGGGCTGTCAGTGTTGTGACTCATGGCAGAGGCACTGACATGGCTCTTGTTTCATGTCATGTAGACTAGAGAATGTCAGCTAGACTGTTGTGCTTCCCATGTTTACTGAAAATTGTCAAAAGGTGTTTTTATCAGTGGTCAAAATGTGTTTTTATAAGTGGTCAAAAGGTGTTTTTATCAGTGGTCAAATGGTCATCAACGTTCCAACACTCTGTGTGCTTACCTCAAAGATCAACCTTTGTCTCCAGCTGGGTGTTTCCCCCAGCTGTACTATGTTATAATGACATTCTGAATATCCCTTTATCTCATTATTTGCTCTAGACGAAGATTTTAAAACTTTTTATAATACCAAGGCATTATGCACATATTACAAAGCGGAAAGAAGAGTGCATCCCATCACTACAAATCTCTGGTAAAATACATGTTTTCTTGAATATTCTTCACCTTTGAAGACATTTCAGGCGTTAGAGGAAGCTAACTTGATCTGTCCCGCTTTAAAAAACTAGCCCTTTGACTGGAGCTGCTGAAAGCCAGGCCCAGCATCGGGGAAATCTTCTGTCAGGATGTATGGAGAAGATCTTCTAATCCCTCTTTTCGTAATGCAGGCTTTCTTTCTGTCCTTGCTCTCCACTCTGTTATGTCGCACTCTTTAATCTCCGTACCTGAACAGATAAGCTGCGACCAGCTGAGAGGAATAGAAACTTTCCTTTTTCCTTCTTAAGATTTTCCTTTTCTTACATAATAAGACACTCTATGCGTATATAACACTACTCATATTTTTTTTATTTCTTAAATCAGGATGTGTAGAAGAGACTGAGGCTATGTTTTATATTGTTAATGTGCCATTATGCAAACTTGCTTTTTTCATCAATAAAAATACTTCACCACGGCAATACTGCGGATATAGAGCCTCAGCAGACTGACATGGGAACATATCACAGTGTAGGTTGTCTATTGTGTGGGATAGGGGAGAATCCTGCAGCTTTTGTTTTCAAGCCTTCACTGTAATGAACAGAAACAGCTACGCATCTTCAACTGCAGAATTTGTTATGTAATCTGGCACATATATGCAACCACGTTCCATTTTTGGAGAGAGGGCTGTGTGTCTTTTGTAAATTAGCAGTGGGCAGGATCCCATGGGTCCTCCTAGATTCACTGACTTGTGACGAAACCTGATAACGGCACAAACAAACATTGTTTTTGCTCAGTTATGAGCAATGCACTGGTTAAGTGTTTGCTGAGAGGTTCTACAGAAACATATGAATGTGCATTGTCCTTATGTAACCGCTGTGGTTAAGCGGTCTCTGCGTTGTGTTTTGTGTTGTTAATGGACGAGACCCGAGCCAGCATACAGTTGAGACGATCTCCGTTTAATCACTGACAGCAGATATAACAAATCAGTATTATATTTGCTTTCCCTCACAGTGCCTCCTCTCACGTGGAACATTTACAAAAAGGGAAGAGGAAATGTGAGGAACACAATATATTAGGGCTGCTCGATTATGGCAAAAATCATAATCTCGATTATTTGGGTTAATAATCGATATCACGATTATTAAAAACGATTATCCATTTACTTTGAAAACATCCATTTATTGAAAACAAATTGAACTGTATGTTTTAAACAGTTGATTAACCTGAACCTTAAGTATAATTCAACTGGAAAAAAAAGATTATAGTAAAAAAAAAAAATTCTTTTTTCGTAATCGTTGCAAGCCAAAATCGTAATTGCGATTAAAATACATTATCAATTGAGCAGCCCTACAATATATAGGGGGTCCTCACAACAATAACCTCCTGAGCACAGCGACCCCACTGATCTCCGACCTTGTCAGGTATTAAACATTCAATAAATGAAGAACACAGAATTACTTAATATAAAACACAGAATTTTCGTGATTATACAAAATGATTTACAAATAAACCCCACTGCATATTTACAACTGTTACACCTATTCAAATAAACGATTAAATAAGTGACGTCTGAAACCCCTCACGTTTGACATTTTTAATGAAAAGTCTGATTTGAATATGAGCGGGGTTATTTACTTCCATTGAGTGCAAAATTGTTGCACACCTTCAGTAACTCTATAGATATGAGTCTTTCTGTACAGGTCAAGCAACACTCTTGGTTATGCCAACAAGATGTACTGTTCTCTGGGCTGGAAGATTTGAAGCTTGGAGACATTTATCCAGTGACATTTAGCATTGAATATCTCTGTGTCAAATGGAAGCCATCTTCACTCAGATTAAATTCATCCCACTGTTCCCGCTGTTTTTTAATCTCATGGTGAACACAAAGGGAGACCAACCAATGTGTGGGCTGCATCCTGCATAATCCATTTAATTCAGTGTTTGTTGCTGCAATCAGAAATTACTTTGTCAGTGAAATGGCTTTTCAAGGCAAGCATGGCTAAAAGGATTAAAGTGGCAAATTGAAAATCCACAGTTACCACAACCTTTCAACTTTTCTTTTGCTGTGTAGATTAATTGATTATTCGTCTAAAGCCATTTCAGGCAGTGTTGTTGGTATAGGAGACTGGGAGCTTCCCAGTTCCTGCATGTTCAGATTTGTTCAAAGCCCACATTCAGCACATTTTATAGAAGGGACTTGCCTTGTACCTTGAAGAAAGAAGGGGAAAGAAACATCTGAGTCGCAAAGAATCGACTGAAGTCAAGCCATCACTGCTGCGGTCTGGTCTGCTTGAAACTACAGTGCAGTTTTTATACAGTGACACATTTTTCAGTCGTTTTGGCTCCTCTGTAATACAGCTCATTAGATTAAAAAAAACAAAACACTTGGGCTGAAGAGCTGAGTTGCAGCTTTCAGGATGTTTGAGGGTTTTAGGCTGTTCATATTAGATTGAACTGTGTTGATGACAGTCATAGAACTGCAGTCCCAATCATTCTGTATTTTAAAGTGGAAATTAAAACACATAGTCACTGTTCTATTCAAATCCAATATTTTTTAATACAGAGCTAAAACTCATGTCACTGACCATTACCCAAAGCAGACAATTGATATGCAAGTATGTTCATATCACTCATGCTTATAACGAGATTATATTGTGTATCAGTAAGACTTCATATTGGATTATGCACATATTTGCAAGCTTTTTGCATACATGTTTATTACCAGAATCATTATGTAAAGCGCTACATAAGGGGGTATCCTACTTTCCTGTTCAGTCCGAGGAAATATGAAATACAAACGAGAGAAGACTGAAGTTATATACTAGAAACAGACGAACACCAGAAGAAGGTGACATACTGTAAAGTTACAGGTGAATACAAATGATTGAACTGCCTTCTCCATATTTCAACTCCCCACATAAAGGAGGCATCATGTCAGTGCCGCTCCACTTTGTAGCACGCAGATGGTGTAAATCACACCGCCCAGACACTGACCTCTCATGAGGTAGTCTAGATCTCTAAACCAGCACTCTGGAAAGGCTAATAATGTAGAGAGCCTTTCCATTAACCCGCACTCAAAGTGAGCTAACTCTCAAGCCTCTGCATTATTAACAGGAAATGGCTACTGGGAGAAGTCAATGTGTGCATGCATCTTCTGAGGTGTGTGAGGTGCTTTAACAACTACAGTGTTTACTCTGAGAACATGGATTCTGTTAGGATTAGAGTTGAACTTGTCTACCCTTGAACCACCGCTAACCAACTCAAACCACATGGTAGCTCCAACGAGTAATGTTTGCGTGGTTTTGCCATAATATACGTTTTGTCTCATGTCGCTCGAATGCTGATGAATGACATTTAATTGCTATAATCTCATGTTCTCTATGACTTGTTCATTATGCATTG